CAGTAATAATGCAAAATTTTGACTCGATTTCGAAATAAACGCACATAGCGATAGGCGTCTCGAAATAACGTATAATGGATAGAATAACGCACAGGGCCAACTATAATCCATGATATTGTTGAGATTTGGAATAGATTTACGAATTGGCCAATAAAATTAAATTTTAACGCAATCCAAGTTCTATTAATTTACTTTATCGTAAGATTTTCCAACTATTTTTGGCCCTGGCACTATTCCAAAATGGACATAGATATTATTAGAAAACAATGTTAACTTTAAGTGGACGAGTATTTTACATAGTAGGTTAGAGTTCAAATGTGGTATTACAAAGTACAAGTCCAAAATGGATCAAAAATCTGCATTAAAAAAATGGATGAAACTGTTATTTCACGTGCAAAAACGTTGAAAATCGGACATATTTCAATTTTATTGTTGTAAAATGCCGATACGTACAGTACATTCAAACAAAAAAAAAAAACAAAATAAATATCTCGGTATAATTAATTATATTGTGACATTGTTACAAAAATAACAAAAAAAAAAAAACCACGAAGTGAATACCATTACTTCTTATAAATAGTATCGATCTTTAAAGTGTTTAGGTTAAATAAACATTTGAAAATTTTGAATTTTAGTATAACCTTGAACCTTGTTAACATTCATATATAATTTACATTTTATATGATCTATGAATTGATGTACTAATCCGCACCAAAAAATTGTCATCTACAAGGCCATACGATTTCTAAAAGTGACCTGCCAATCTTGCTTCTATTTTAAATATAAAAAATTAGGCGAAACCCATTTTTATAATATATAAATACATATATATTTTTTTTCCTATTTTTAATATTGTTAAAACTGACCTTAGAACCTAAATAATGGCTCAAGGTTATAATTTATCTATAGACACAGATGCTGCATCCCAAAGTCAAATAATTACCCAATTTGAAGAAGATGATAGTGGTCAAGTATCTCCAGTTACCGATGAAGATATCGAACCTGGTCTAGTTTATGCGTTACGTACTTTTACAGAAACAGTAGAGGGTCGAGCTAAAGTCGATAAAGGCGATTCACTAATTTTATTAGATGATTCGAACAATTATTGGTGG